TATTATTATTATTATTATTATTATTATTATTATTATTATTCATCCTGGAGGGCTCTCTGTTGTGTCCTTAAAACACAAGTTCATGTATGCAACAAAGATATTGAATGTGTTGAGTCAGTATATCAGCTACTGTACAGACAGGTGCAGAAGTCAGTTCATGGATCTGAGCAATTCTAAGCCAGCTACTAATATAAATTGCTTGGACTGGGATTGTGAATAGATGCCTCACTCCATTCTTTTGAGAACAAACCAAATGCTTTTTTTTTATTTTAAAAAAGAGAAGCTTTGACTCACTGCAGGGTGTAAAAGGAAATCATGAATCAACTCAAACACGAGAATGAATCAACCCACATTCCTAGGGAGGGTCCAGGAAGGCAAAAGTAAAGGGATATTGTTATCAGTGTATCCTGAACTAGATAAATGTCTGCAGAGCTGATATCAAAATGAGCCTTGTGTCACCTTAAAAACTCATGAGTTTTGTTTTGCTTTTGGAGACTGCAGTCAATGTCAGAAGATGCCTAATGGTGTTGAAGAGAGATGGCGATTTGGAAAAAAAGATCATTTTTAAGATGTCTGGGTGATGAGGCTGTAAATGGAAACACATAATGAAAATGGGGCAAAATGGTCCCACTAGTTCTCCTGTGCAAATCCTACTGACATAGGACTGACAGGTTGAAAACTGGACATGTGAACAAATGAACAAGAACAGGAATGCAGAGCACCTTTCTGTTTTATAAATGCAAATGCAGGTTGGGTATCTGTTATCTGAAATGCCAAAGTGTTCCATATTTCAGATTTTAGAATACTTGTATTTGCATATACATTAATGAGACATAATGAGGCTGGAGAGAGGCTGAGGATCTGCAAAATGGTGGGAGGCATGGATTCCCACCATTTTACAGATCCTTGCATCTTTCCAGCCTCACAACTACAGTACAGGTATGTACTATGCTACTTGTGCTGTAGCAAAAAATGTTTTGGATTTTGGAGTGCTTCAGATTTCAGAATTCTGGATGCAGGATATTCAACCTGTATTTGATTAAACACTTAATGATTTAAGGTGGGGTGGGAAAAGAACGTTAATTAAATAATCTTACCTCTAGGGGGATGTCTTCTCCCATTTCCCTTCAACAGCAAGAATCACGAATGGATGCTCTGGTTCTCAACCTAAACCCCCCCCCCCAAAAGTGTATTTTGTTTTAAAGAGATCATACAAATAAAATAAAATAATACTGGCTTTAGTGGATTTGGAGACCCCATGTTAGGTATTTGTAGTTTGCAATGTTGCGGGAACAATGGTGGGATAATTCCTGAATCAAGTAAATAGATTCCCACTATTACAAGGATTAATTTTTGTATGAAAGAAAAAAACATAAAGACACAAGCCAATCCTGGTCGACATGATGGCAATTAACAACAGTGTGTATGTCTGTGTGTGTGTGAGTGTGTAAGAGAGATACAGAGAGACAGATGCAAAGACTCTGCATTTGCTCAAAAACACTATATTCCAGCCAGCCTGCAAGTGAAAGGACAAAAAAAAAGAGAGAGCTGGTACTGAAAAAACGTAGGATAGCATGGACAGCCAAGAAGACAAACAAATGGATTCTTGAAGAGATCAGGGCTCTCCTTGGAATCAAAGATGATCAAGTTGAGACTGTCGTACTTTGGCCATTTTTGGAGATGTCTCATCTACAGGGTTGCCATGAGTCAGAGTCAACTCAAGGGCAGCTAATAACAAGAACAACTGAAAAATGAACAGGTGAGTTCTGGATCACATTAAGCTTTGTCTCCTCAAGTGTTCTGCAGCTATACTTGAATGACTAGTATGAAAGGCCTATTATTTTGGAGATGTTTCTCTCTTGAGAGAAGCTCACAAAGTAACACTCAGTTCCATAATCCTTTCTGGGGCAGAACATAAGAAAATATCTGAACCTGGTACCTTACACAAGCTCCATTTGGTGGGTTCCTAGCCACAACAGAAGTGATTTACAAAAGCGTGGAGCTCTGGAAATTTGTCCTGAATGGGACTCTTTTTCTCCCTGAGGGCGTCTCATATGTCAGTGAATATATTACCTAGTTGTCAGGATGGACCCTTGAATTAAATGAAAACAGTTGCTGCCTAAACTTAACCTGAAGCAAATTCAGAGTTGTGCATTTGTGTCTCTGTGTGTGGAAGATCTGGGAATTTCTCCTCAGGAGCAATCCCTAAGAGATTTGAAGAGGAACCAAACTGATTTTGCTCAAACAAGGGGGAAAGATTTGAGGGCAATTTAACAAATCTTTAGATTGTCACCAGATGCAACCTCGATCAAAATTCACTATAGGAGGTGGATGTTGCTTCTCAGGCAAAATGTCTGAGGAATTTCAAGAGAAGCTGGAAAAGTTTTGATAAGATGAACTGTTTTCTTTTTAGACTGATGGATGATCATCTCAGGACTATAGCCACAGTCCTACCATCCACAGGACTATGACCCCCCCAAAAATTTTTTGTTCCCCAAATGAAATTTTCCTTCATTTCTCACTGCAGTTATTGCTAGCACTGCAGTTACTTAAAATTTCTTTTGTGTATTTAGAAAACACAGTTTATGCATCCAAAGGAAAGTGGCTGGAAACATGATGAAGGGAATGCGGGCATAGCAAATATTGAGAGTTGTAGTTGTGAATGATTTTCAGTGTTTCACTCTCTGAAATTCTAGAAACTTGGGGGCTGAAGGAAAATTTCATTGGAGAGGCAGTATTTTGAGGCAATATTTCCTTCTTTGGGGTTCCTTTGGGTCTAATTCCCTCAGGGAAAGGCTGAAGATGTTCCACCTGAACTGAAGACCCACATGGTCATGTCTGATGCTTCC